CCATGGGTGCAGGGCCCAGGACCTGGGCCATCTCCACTGTACTCCCTGGCACAGCAGAGAGCTGGCCTGGAAGAGGGCACCGGGACAGAATCCGGCGCCCCGACCGGGACTAGAACCCGGTGTGCTGGCGCCGCTAGGCGGAGGATTAGCCTACTGAGCTGCGTTGCAGCGCCGGCCCTATGTATTCAAGTTCTGTGTATGAGAAAGACTGGGGAGCGGGTCCTGGGCTTCACCATACAGGAATGCACCTCACAGAGCTCATGAACAAACGGAATGAGAAGGTAAGTTTATTTGGGGTGCAAAAAAGCATCAGGACCGGCACTGCGGCTCAGCTGACTCCTGCAGCACCAGCATCCCATGCGGGAGCGTTGGTTTGAGTCTTGTTCCACTTCCGATCCAGCTTCCCACTAATGTGCCTGGGAAGGCAGTGGAAGATGGCCCATGTGCTTGGGCCCCTGCCACTCCTGTGAGAAACCTGGAGGAAGCTCCTGGCTCCAGCCTGGCTAAGCCCTGGCCATTGTGGCCATTTGGGGTGTGAACCAGTGGATGGAGGATCTCTGTCTCTCTCAAGTAAATAATTAAAAAAAAAAAAAAGTTGAAATCCATACACATGTATGGGATCTTCAAAAAGTTCACAGAAAATGCATATGGAAAACACTATGGGGCTGGCACTGTGGCTTTGTGGGTAATGCTGTTGCCTGCAGTGTCGGCATCCCATGTGGGCGCCCGTTCAAGACCCGGCTGCTCCACTTCCGATCCAGCTCTCTGCTATGGCCTGGGAAAGCAGCAGAAGATGGCCCAAGGCCTTGGGCCCCTGTACCCACGTGGGAGACCTGGAGGAAGCTCCTGGCTCCTGATTGGCACAGCTCTGGTTGTTGTGGCCAATTGGGGAGTGAACCAGCAGATGGAAGACAGCTTGTGCTCTCTCTCTCTCTCTGCCTCTCCTTCTTGGTGTAACTCTTTCAAATAAGTAAATAAATCTTAAAGAAAGACACTATGCCTGCATTTAAAATCTGGGGTACACAAATAAACTTGTTCTTTAATTCCATTTGTGCACGAGCTTTCTGATGTGATGAGAATGGGAGGCACAGACCAGACCCCTCCCAGGCAGCCCTCCCCAAAGCCAGCTTTCCAGAGACGCCTGGCCAGGGAGGATGCAGGCTCCTTGCTTCCCATTCCTTCCTGTGCTGACCCCTCCCCCACCCCGTACAACCACACTTGACCTTCCCACCTACTGCCCCACTCTGTGTTGGGTGCCCTTCTCTCTCCCTGAAGCCCCTGGAAAGGATAGGTGTGGCGTAGCAGTGAGGCAGCTGCCTGCGATGCCAGCATCCCACGCGAGTGTGGGTTCAAGTCTCAGCTGCTCTGCTTCTGATCCAGCTCCCTGCTAACGCAGCTTGGAAAGGAGCTGAAGATGGCTGGAGTACTTGGGTCCCTGCACCCATGTGGGAGACTGGGATGAAGTTCCTGGCTCCTGGCTTCAGCCTGGCCCAGCCCTGCGCATTGCAGCCATTTGGGGACAGAACCAGAGGATGGAAGACTGGCTCTCTCTGTCACTGTGCCTTTCAAATGAATAAATAATTTTTTGACTTTTTATTTTTTTAAGGCTCTTTATTTGAGAGGCAGTTACAGACAGAAAGAGGGAAAGACAGAGAGAGAGGTCTCCCACCGGCTGGTTCACTCCCCAAATGGCTGCTATGGCCAGAGCTCGGCCAAAGCTACAGCCAGGAGCTTTTTCCAGGTCTTCCAGATGGGTGCAGGGGCCCAAGCACATGGATCATCCTCCACTGCTTTCCCAGGTGCATTAGTAGGGAGCTGGATTAGAAGTGGAGCAGCCGGGGCTCAAACTGCCACCTATTCGGGGTTCCAGTGCCTCAGGGAGAGGCTTAACCTACTACGCCACAGTGCCAACCCCCAAATAAGTAAATCTTAAAAAAAAAAAAAGGCAAGGAGGGGGCTGGCATAGTGGGTAGAGCTGCCGCTTGCAACGCCGGCATCCCAGATGGGCACAGTTCATGTGCCAGCTGCTCTACTTCTGATCCAGTTCCCTGTTAATGTGGCTGAGAAAGCGGCTGAAGATGGCCCAAGTTCTTGGGTCTGGGCACCCACATGGGAGATGAAGCTCCGGGCCTCAGCCTGGCCCAGCGCCACCCCTCCCAGGCCATTTGGGGGAGTGAACCAGCAGATTCCGGTTTCTGTCTCACTCCCCACCCCCCCAATGCTGCCTTTCAAATACAAATAAATCTTTTAAAAAGCCAGCAGGCAAAGGGATTTCCAGCCAGCTTACTCGGGCCTCCTGCCTGCCCTGGCCTCTGCCCTCATTGTTCCAGGCCTCCCCAAGGCAGGCAGCCCCCATGAGGCTCACCTGTGGGCCGGTAGCTCACTCAGGCTCTCTGTCCAGCACCTCCTCCTTCCAGAACCCTTTCCCCCCAGGGGTCTCCGCATTAATGGACACGCCCGCCCCACCATGGCTCCCATGGCCATCTGAGGATGGCCTCTCGCTGCAGCCCAGGCCCTCCTCACCCACCAGCCTCAGCATGCTGCTCCAAACCTGTTCCCCACCCTAATCCCATCCCTCCTTGACGGCCTCAACCTGAATCCAATCAGCCAATCAGGTGGTCTCAGGCTGCAGCCTCCCAAATCCAGCCCCTTCCCCATCTTTCCTCAATCCTGGGCACTCCCTGCTCCCATCATCAAACTCGAGCAAGTGTCTCCCCTACAGGACTTGTCAGAGCCTTGAGCCGGAGCCATTGATCCCAGATGCTTCTCAAACACTAATTCTTTTTAAAGATTGTATTGGGGCCGGCGCTGTGGTGTAGCGGGTAAAACCACTGACTGCAGCGCCAGCATCCCATATGGACAAGTCTCTGCTGTTCCACTTCTGATCCAGCTCTCTGCTATGACCTGGGAAAGCAGTAGAAGGTGGCCCAAGTGCTTGGGCCCCTGCACCTGCATGGGAGACCTAGAAGAAGCTCCTGACTCCGGATCAGGTGCAGCTCCGGCTGTTGTGGCCAACTGGGGAGAGAACCAGCAGATGGAAGATCTCTCTCTCTCTCTCTCTCTCTCTCTCTCTCTCTCTCTGCCTCTCTGTAACTCTGACTTTCAAGTAAACAAATAAAATATTTTTTTAAAAAAATTGTATTTATTTATTTGAAAGAGTTCCGAAGAAGGAGAGAGAGAGAGAACTATCTTCCATCTGCTGGTTCACTCCCCAAAAGGCCACAATGGCCAGGACTGGGCCAGGATGAAACCAGGAGCCAGGCGCTTCATCCAGGCTTCCCACTTGGGTGCAGGGGCCCAAGGACTTGGGCCATTTTCTGATGCTTTCCCAGGTGCCTCAGCAGGGAGCCAGATGGGAAGTGAAGCACTGGGACTCGTAACAGTGCCCATATGGGACACGGGCCCACCCGCTGCGCCACAGCGGCAGCCCCTGGAGCACTCATTCTACACCTGTGCTGCCCGCCATGGCGGCACCGGCAGTGGGCTGAATGGTTCTTTGTCCTGTGTGGCGTGGGATCTGTAGCAGACTCCTTCCAGGAGTGACAGCCAAGAATGTCTGCAGACGCTGCCAATGTTCTGCTAAGGAGCAAAATCGTGGCCAGCTGGGAAGCCAGGGCCTGCACCGTGAATGTGCCGCAAGCACCTTCCACGTGGCAATGCTGTCCCAGAGAGGCGTGACACAGGCCGTCGCTGTGGGGCTG